TTTTTATATTTTCGTCTTATGTAACTGTTTGACGAGGAACTCGACTAGTTTCAAGCCATGCTCATATTCATGAGCAGCATTCCTCTAGCATGGCGTCAAACAGTTACGTGAGTATGATGAAAATGTAAGTGTTAAGTGTAGGAGAGCCATGCGTCGGCACGAATGGGCCGACTCGACGGGAGTGATACCACGGCCCCACAGAAAACCGACGTGAAGCAACGCTTGCGTTATGTTTCATCGTGTGAGTGAGGTTACCGGAGGCCTAATTACCCTCCCCTTCCCCAATCTCCCCAATTCCTGAATCCTCAACGATCCTCAAACTCCTAATCCCCAAAAGGCCGGTAACGCACTTGTAACGCCTCTGGTGTTCCAGGTGTCCATGGGCGACGCCGATTGCTTATCATCAGGTGATCCGTCTGCTCGTTTACCGGCTTATGCCATAAAAAAGTAGGTATGTCTCATGAACGTTAAAATGTGATTCGAATGCCCTGAAAATTCTGGGAACACAATAGTATAATACCTGGCAGAATAATATTGAAGAATGTCAGTCGATTGCCATGTTTAAAAATAGGTTAAAAAATATGTATCTGAAAATATTTATTAATACTGTTTGGTCATAACTCTGTATACCTAGCTATGCTAGGCTGCGGGCCTGCGGACGGCGAGTATGGGTGGCTCCCGGTCCGACCAGAAACAGACCCGAGCGTACGGCGCGTCGCGTTCCGCGCGCGCCTCAAAGAGCCATCAGACCATCAGCCCCATCTGTGGTAGATGGGGCCCAATAGGGCCGATGCCGATTCGGAGTCGCGGAGAACCTAACGGGTAACCGGGGCTCCGGCTCGACGTACAGGAGAAGGAACAGGGTGGTTTTAAGTCAGTAAGAGTCTAACACGCTCCCGCCTCACCCAGGCGGGAGAAGTCATTCGATGATTTTCCCTCCTTAAAAAAAAAAATACCTAGCTATAATTAGTCATTTAACCTCTTTGTAAGTGAACCATATTCTTTATGAATGAATAAACAATCATTAAACTTATTCAGCGGAACTATAAAATATAAGTTACAGAAAAACCCTGGAAATTCATTGAAAAAACGTACAAGTCTTTAAAATACAAGTCTTACTTTCTTTATCATTTGACTTCTCAGTGAGGTTAACGATGGTATATTATACCTAGCCATCTCTAATACCCAAAAGCCGTGCAACGCATTTGTAAGTCCTCTAGTGTTCTAGGTGTCTATGGGCGGCGGCGATGGTACATCAACTCCAACAGCAGGTTGTTTACTCGTTTGCCTCCTCAAAAAAATCACCCAGTTTCACTGACAAATAGACTGACGGACAATTCAATTATGGCGTTTCAAATATATTAATATTAAGTATTCTAGGTCAATTTTTTTGTGAATATAACCTTGCTCCACACTAGGGTTTAGACCCAGCACAACAATTTTTAGATCACTCAAAAAATTTCTACGTGTGGGAATCGAACTCGCGACACATTGCACGGCAGCCAGCTGCCCAATGCATAGTTAACCGTGCAGTCAAAATTGAAATAAATACCTTGACATTGACTATCAAAAACCACCAAAAAAAATCAAAAACATTTTCTTTTGCGTGCCAACCCTTAACAAGACGATGTTTACGAAACCCACCTCTAACAGTTTAACCTCTTTCTTTATTTATCAACGGGTCGCATTTACATCCGTTGGGGTCACATCCACCCCCCAAACCGAACACCCTACGCGATGCGGATCTTCAAAATGTGAGGAAAAAAATTGAAGTAGACTACAATTTCTGAGTGAGCGGTTGGATCATACAAGTGACTTTTACCCTATTTTTGACCGACTTCGAAATAAAAGAGGTTCTCATTGTCACCTGTATGTATGTTTGTTTGTACGCGATTATCTAGCGATTGGCTGAACCAATTTTAACGAACGGGGTGATTTTTAGTCAGTAAGAGCGTGTCATTCCCTCCCGCCTCACCTAGGTAGGAGAAGTCATTCGATGATTTTCCCCCCTTAAAAAAAGTGTAAGTGGTTCTTATTAGACAGTCCCATAATTAAAATGAGCTACATAGTTCAGTGGGTCCTAAAGAAACAGTGATCGAAATGTAGTTTCTCAATAAATTCATCCCCTTCCCATATTCGTAAGTTACAACCCCCTAGAGTACATTAAAACATATGAACACCAATTATTTTAGCCAAGCTACATGCAACTGCACGTCGAAGTATACAAAACCAATTATTCTTGGTCTCGTTTTGTATGACCTCTATGCAGATTCGCCGGTCAGTTTATTCTGGTTATATGTATCCAGTTAATAATGGCCTCGTTTTGTGTGGTTTTCCCGCAGAATGGACGGTCATTTTATACTGGTTTAGTATACCTTGATGGGCTGCACATAAAGATATATTTATGTTACTACCCGTATGAAGTTTATGAACTAATATACTCGAGTGATCTTAAAAAACACGTTTTTTATATCTTCAGTACTTAGTTTTTCATGTAACAGCGATAAACATGTACAAATTGAAGGAGATGGCGTTTTTAGGGTGTGACTTTGGGTATAGCGGGAGCGGAAAGCGATTTAAATGACTCTATAGATATCAGCATCAACAGTCCTTGACAGTAATATCTTATAATATCTTCAGATTTATTTCGTTGCAAGAACCAAGACAGTTATTCATGTCCTTGGGAACTTCAGTGTTCCGGTGTTTTCATGGTTGTATCTACTGTATAGACCTTGGCTTACAGGAGATTAAACCTTCAAGAAAAGAGCAGCGGAGAACCTAACGGATAACCGGGGCTCCGGCTCGAAGTGCAGGAGAAGGAACAGGGTGGTTTTTAGTCAGTACGAGTCTGACACTCCCTCCCGCCTCACTCAGGCGGCAGAAGTCAATCGATGATTTTCCCCCATAAGAAAATCCTGTTGAAACGGCCGGCAACGGACCTGTGACCTGTACCATCAGGTGATCCGTATGCTCGTTTGCCTCGTATTTCATAAAAAAAGCTGCAGCGGTTCTGGGATATTGTGGTGGGCTTGACCCATAAACAGTCCTCCACAGTCCATTGTTGGAATATGAACCTTCTCTACATAAGAGTGGTTTGCCATAACCTGCTCCAGTGAGTTGGAGATCGCTGTGGAAAATGTTCAGGTTTATCAGAGACCGCTGCTGCACAGTCTCTGTCTAAAATGTAGTTCTCTTAGTCGGCTTTTATAACACACGTACTTAGGTATCGTCATGAACTAATGTTCACATGTAAATAACAGCTCATGTAGTATAGATGTCCAGTCAACAAAGATGTAGCGAGGTTGACTGTCCAGGCGACACACGTACTTAGGTATCGTCATGAGCTAATGTTCACATTTAAATAACAGCTCATGTAGTGTAGATAGATGTCCAGTCAACAAGGATGTAGCGTAGACTTTCCAGGCTCACACGTACTTAGGTATCGTCATGAGCTAATATTCACATGGAGGTAAATAACAGCTCATGTAATGTAAATGTCCTGTCAACCAGGATGTAGCGAGGTTGACTGTCCAGGCGATACACGTATTTAGGTATCGTCATGAGCTAATATTCACATGTAAATAACAGCTCATGTAATGTAAATGTCCTGTCAACAAGGATGTAGCGAGGTTGACTGTCCAGGCGACACACGTACTTAGGTATCGTCATGAGCTGATGTACACATGTGGACAGCAGCTCATGTAGTGTAGATGTCCAGTCAACAAGGATGTAGCGAGGTTGGCTGTCCAGGTGACACACGTACTTGGGTATCATCATGAGCTAATCTTCACATGTAAACAGCAGCTCATGTACTATAGATGTCTAGTCAACTGATGGTAGTAAGGTTGGCTGTAAATCGCTTTCGCTGCTACTAAGGTCGTACCCTTAGAACATTCGACTGAAATAGTAAAAAGTTAAGTTGTTCCGACAAGAGTTTATGTCTGAAATTGTGTTATTTCCATTGAAAGTGACTTTACAGACGTTTTACATGCTGTAATATGTTTCTTCATAACTCTAATTTATTTCATTTTCGACCCGCGGCAAAACGACTTGGCATAAGGAGTACTTTTGATGTATAAAGTAATAAGGAAACAATAAAGATGTCATTATTTTATAGTGGAAATATACACATGGAACACTAGACGTACATTTTTTGGCACTACTCGCATCGCACGTGCACCCATAGAGAAATACCTCTTCGAGAATTACATGGCGTGATGTTTTGATAATGTACTATGAGTTCGTATGCGCTTTCGAAGTTTGCTTTTTGCAATGGATTACCAGTTATTGTTTGTTTTAAACATTTTATTTGTTTGTAAAACTATTGTATTACCGAGACAGAACCACTTCGGGACGATAATAAAATAGATTGATACGGAGTATAATGTCGCACCTTTTACTCTCCGTAGGGGTAGACAGAGTTGCACGACTGCACGTACAGAATGTTACACGAACTTTCTACCAGGATAGTCTGAGTTATTATAATAATTAGCCTATTATAACACCAGACTCTGTGCTAATACTGGGGAATTTTTCGAAAAATCTAAATTCTTGCTCGGTCAGTGGTACTTGCAACGAGACAGGTAAATTGTAAGCTACTAGCTATTGTCTTGCGTTTTTTATCCTCTTGGATTTCTCATTTCACTTTCTATATACTCCCAGATATTATGTATGCAAAGAATATTGGTTATGTAGATAACGCGAAAAGAAATAACTACTATAGATAATAAACTTTATTTCGCATGGGTAATTTAGTTGGAATCCAAAGCTGTGCGTCAACAAAAAGGTACAATAGGGGACAGATCTGTCTGATCATTTAAATTTTTTATAGCTCGAACCAAAGCCAACATTAATTTAGTGGTGGTCAGGCGAATGTGCCCCCGATTGTACATACTAAAGTATAAAATCAGACATACAAACTTCTTGCACTCAACAATAAACCTCTATGCCATTAGAACATTTTGACATATCTTTAAAAAATAAGAATCCAATGTCATAAATAATATGGGTATAAGAAATAACAGGTAAGGCCCTTGTTTTTTATCATTATTTTAGCGAAAATACAAAGATTCATAGTTTAGAAGACGTCCTGTAGAAAAACGACACGAAGGTAAAATTTTTGTTACAGTATATGTATCGGCCGTTGAAACTTAATATGAGCCGTCGATGTGCCAAAATTTCGAAACAAAAACATTCTCGGTAGGTATTTCTCATTCAAATTTGATGATCTGATGGTCTACATGGTACACCATACCTGTGATGATGGAGTAGAAATATATTTAAATATTTAATAAACCCCGCACCCTCTTCCTGTCGGTGTCATGAGAGCTGAGGTATAGATTGTATGCCCTGAATGCTCCTCTGCTACTTATGAAGGATAGCCATAGTGTCCACATTTAGCAAGTTCAAGTTCCAGCCTTTGTCAAACCTATATTTCTGTAATAGGTTCTCATGATACCCACATAGTAGAGGCGGTTATAAATGTATTATTCTTTTCTGCTGTCACCACAACGGCTTATAGGTACTATACTCGGTTAAAAACATACTTGGGAGCAAAAACACGATGCCAGTAGCATTTTTTTCCATTTCTTGATAATTTTTTCTGATACGTATGTCTTATAGAAGGCAATTTAGTTGAGAGCATTTTGTTGTAAAATTAATCGTTTTTTTTTTAAGTTATAAGGGAAAGAAAGTGGCTACGTTCCTTTACTCCCAAGTGTGAATAGAAGGAATAAAGAATAGGGTAGTTTCCTAAATTTTATTTTAATGTCCGTCTGGTAGATTATTTTAAGGTATTAGACACGTATTTTTTATTTTCTCACAAAATTAAATACTTTCGACGATATATTGATTTGAAATGTCGTATGACGTCACAGCGTGCTACAAAATGTAGCACGTTGTGACGTAACTACCTCCCACTCCCAAACTTAGCGCCATTTTATTTAAGTATTGTAACTTTATACGAGAAAATAAAAAATACGTGTCTAATACTTTTTCATTATCTGACTGACGGACTAATTAGATTTTTTATTTTCTTAACCTGGAAACTACCCTATTATAGAGAAGATGGTAGGATAGAAGCTAAACAAGAAACGAATGGGAGATATTATATGTTTATAGGTATGTTTCAGCCATGGAAAGGTTGATAAAGAAACTCAATCACCGCTGCTGAAGATTTTTAAGGAAATAATGACAAGAGAGAAAGAGTAAGTAGTATTAGGCTAAGGAATGACGAAGCGATTCTAAGCCTTTGTAGAATATGGATATGTATGTAAAAAATTAAATTATATTTCACGGCGAAGTGTGGGAGAGCCATGCTTCGGCACGAATGGGCCGGCTCGACCGGAGTGATACCACGGCCGAGCAGAAAACCGACTTTAAGTAACGCTTGCGTTGTGTTTCGTCGTGTGAGTGAGGTTACCGGAGGCCCAATTACCCTCCCCTTCCCCAATTTCCCCAATTCCTGAATCCCCAACGATCCTCAAACTTCTAATCCCCAAAAGGCCGGTAACGCACTTGTAACGCCTCTGGTGTTCCAAGTGTCCATGGGCGACGCCGATTGCTTACTATCAGGTGATCCGTCTGCTCGTTTATCGGCTTACGCCATAAAAAAAGAAAAAAATTTACGGCACGTTTCACGCTCGTGGCGTGTGCGATTGATTGCGGCCCCCGCTGCACCGGCGGGCGCGGCTAAAGTCACGCAGCCGCGCACTCTGCAATCGTTTGGCAGTCGATCGCAATGAGATAGACGGTCTGGAACTCAACTTATTCTTTAACTACCCATCTTGCTCAACCGCTAAATTTGCGGGTGATAATCGTAACTAAAGGGGCTGTGAATCTCGCTCGCGTCGGGAGTCTGTAGCGTAATACATTCGTAAGATAATTGCGGATAAACATATATATGTTACTGTAAAAGCTCGAACTACGGTAAATCTTAAGATTTAAGTGTAAGTCTTAGGATTTACCGACATGAGTTGGTAAATGTAAGTATTTCTGAAGATACGACGATTTTTTCGAGCTTTTACTATTCGAAATCAGTATATGCTAGGTTTTACCATTGTCAGCTGGTAGATGTTGGTTTTAGAAATAAAACAATGAGTAATTCTTAATTATTTACTTTGAACTATTAGACAAAACAGGTGCATAGTATTATAAAAATATCATAATGATAGTAACCAGTACAAACACATCATCTAACTGAATCAGTACTTCTCTATTTGGAATTTAACAACGAAAGACGAACATAATGCTCATAAAAGCTAGTCTAACTTAATTATTATTTTTCTCATTATTTGGTTTAGAAGTAAAAAAACACAATCAAATGTAATTGATTAATAGGTTCCTAAAAAATTTTATTAAAGCATTTAGAATTACAAAGTAATCGTGACGGCGGCAAGCTACAAGTCGATGCGCTGAGCACGTTATGACATGTTTTGTTTTTCAACATTTACCATGCCATTGATGTAAGATTTACCAACGGAATGGTGGTAAAAGTTCGAATCGATAAACTTTTTGGACATTTACCATTAGGAATTGGTAGATCTTAGGTTTTACTGGAATATCTTAGGATTTACTGCAGTTCGAGCTTTTACAGTAACTTATACACAAGGTCAAATTAAACAGCACAGTACCTAATTATATGTCGCGGAGAACTTAACGCTCCGGGCTCCGGCTTGACGTGCAGGAGTAGGAACGGGGTGGTTTTTAGTCACTAAGAGTCTGACACTCCCTCTCGGTTCACCTACTACATAAACTAATTAAGACTCATAAGAACCTTCTCGTTTGAAGTCGTTTTAAAGTCAACAATGTCTATTCCTTACTTTATTGGTTTTTTTACATTACATATTTAAATGATATGAAAAAAAATGCAGATTAATTTATATGTATGTACAATGTATGTGTGTAAATAAATAATTAAAAATTCAGTCTTTCAGTAAATACTCATAACTGTAATTCACTGAAAACCCGATTCTGAACAACAGAATAGAGGTCGTGCTAAAACTAAAAATATTTTCCAGTGATCCAGAAAAGAGGAATCTCCTAATGGAGCAGAAAGAAGATAAAAAGAGAAGACAGTACTCTGGTTCCAGAAATAAGATAGAGCGTGTGAGTCTTGATGTATTAACCAGTTGGAAGGTAACAGTCATTCATACAACGAGATAGAACCTGCTGATACACAGATAGAAGGGAAACGTGGTCTTACAAATAGGGTTCCGTTTGTTTTGATAACTATCGTGAGGTATACTAAATTAACTAAAAATCATGGGTTACTCACGTGAATATACTGATACCGCCCAGCCTACGTAGGCTGCACAACATCGCCGCGACCGCGCACGCTGTTCAAGAGGAAGAACCCCTCTGTCTATCGAAACTAGTACAGCTTTTCGCAGTATATTCACGTGAGTAACCCGCGATTTTTATATAATTTAGGGTTCCGTTTATTACCCTTTGGGTACGGAGCCCTAAAACGATTTCATCACCCTAGAAAGCATATTCAGTTTGACGATGGGACTAGCGTACCATTTCGTTAAAAGTTCCAAAACAAATAAAAAAAAATGTTTGTTGATCATGCAGCTGATTATTGCAAAATAGGGTATTAAAGAATTAATATTTACAGAATAGATTCTGACATAATAGACTATGATAGAGGAGTAGACGATGATAGTATAGACAATGGATGATAACAAAATAGACCATTACATAATAGATCATTGAATGGTTTTAATCTTATAGAAGTTAAACGGGGGACTGGTAAAGTCTATTAGACTTAAATAGTTCCCAATTCAATTTCTTTGAGATGTCCATCCCATTCTATACAACTGCCCACATTGTAATCCACCCAAAATAACTAAATAGGTAGATATGATGGTATAAAAATCGACGAGCATGCCTGCCTGGAGCGATTGGTGGATGTTGATAAAGCGAAAGAGGTATGACAGAGTCGAGTCTTTAGTATCCGAATGAGAAACAATCGTAACGATATGTACTTATGCTTATTTTTACAATCCCTGAATAGGTCTCCCAAAAATTGGAACCAGCCGGCCACAGCCCACAAATTTTCGATGATCAATCAGCGATCACCAAGCCGCCTGCCAAGCGAGATGATTTGACAAACACCATTTTAAGAGAGAGGCCTTTGTTCAGCAGTGTACGTATCCTGGCTGATGATTATGATGATGTTGATATTGATGATGATGGTGATGATAATGATAGGTTCAATTCCAGAGGTCCTGCGAGTCCAGCAGTTCAGAGCAGCGTAAAAGAGGAACGCCATACAAAACTTCTTCTATTGATCAGAGAGGTGAATTCCCACAAAACAGGACTCGAAGCTTGGTCAGTCTGTATGCTAAACGGGTAGGTCCTTTCAATCTAAACACTTTTCACTCGTTTATATGCGTTATGTGTCCGATTATGCTCTGGAATGAGATCGTATTGAGAATTTCCTGGTGTTCTTTCTTCTCTATTGCAAGAAGAAGCCTAATAGCATAATTCGGCATTCTGACTAATGTATACGATGATAAGTATTCATCATCATCATCATCAGCCTATAAGTGCGCACTGCTGAGCAAAGGTCTCCCGCGAAGAAAGTTTGAGCATTAATCACCACGCTTGTTCCCGGCGGATTGGTGATTTCATACTTATTATAATTAGAAATAAAGTAGTTGCCTAATTGTTATTTTAATGTCCGTCTGGTATATTACTTTAAATCATTAGACACGTATTTGTTTTCTCATAGAAATGAATACTTTCGTATTATTTTATTATACAACAAAATAAAAAAAAATACGTGTCTAATATTTTCTTATAACCTAACTTACGGACTAATTAGATTCCTAATTTTCATAGCCTGTCATCGTCTCAATTATCCAGTTCAGGTTTCCTCTCATGTTTTTCTTCACGGCTTATAAAAAAAATTGATAAATTCCTGAACTTTTATTTTATTATAGCAAACAATTTATTTTAAATTCAAAATCTTTACCTACATACTTCTTTAGCTTCTATCACATTCCTACATTTGGTTGTACAAGTTCTTTTTTTCATATACAATTACAATATGGGCTCGTACACAAAACTGCGATGCGATGCGACGCGAATTCGCAACGCAAAATATTACGATCCGAATTGCTGCGATGCGAGTTCGTGCGACAAAGCGTCTCCCAGGATGACCATTCCTTCGACGACCGTCAACCGTACTAAACGTATTTAAATTGAAAACTACGTCGTGACATGGATCGTAAAAAGAAGTGTGCACTTCTGTTATTGCTTAGGAGATACAGGAAAAAGAAACAAAGAAGATTTTGGGAAGATAAGATTTTGATACGCGATGTGATTCAATTCACAAATTCTTGCGATGCGTAGAGGGAGCTCGCACATTTTTGCGGTGCGACGTCGCATCGCAGTTTTGTGTACCAGCCCTATAGTATGATTTATATATGATTGTATTAAGATCAATTCATTTCTTTATATTACAGCCCTACCTAAGTGAGAAAAAGGAAAGTTGGTGGTGTTGGGTAAGTACTGATTCATATTTATATTCTTCTTAAATAAATAATGCCACATAAGAGATCTTTTATGAGACAGAAGAGCAAAGGAGCAGACGGATCACCAGATACGCGACCAGATGTGCGTAAGCATTTAAGTGTGGGAGAGCCATGCTTCGGCACCAATGGGCGGCTCGACCGGGGTACCACGGCGTCGCAGAAAACCGACGTCAAACAACGTTTGGGTTGTGTTTCTTCGTGCGAGTGAGGTTACCGGCGGCCCAATTACCGTCCACCCCAATCTCTAATCCACGAATCCCCAACAATTCTTAAATTCCTATTCCCCAAAAGGCCAAGGCCGGTAACGCACTTGTAATGCCTCTGGTGTTTGGGGTGTCGTGGGCGGCGGCGATTGCTTACCATCAGATGATCCGTCTGCTCGTTTTCTGGCTTATCCTATAAAAAAAAAACAGTAATGGGTACCACCCATGGATACACACAACAGTAGATGACTACAAGTATATAACTAGTAGTCTTAAAAGGGTTCGAGGATTTAGAGATGGGGAGGGCTTAGGTCTTCAGTGACTGCTCACGTGGGTGCGCACAATACTTTGGGTATTGTAAGTCGTTACGTAGGCCGTAAGTCCAGCCGGTCCATTCGTGCCAAAGCATGGCTATCAATTGCAGTCATAGCAATGGTGATGTAATATTTTGTGTATATTATGTCCTACTGACGAAGATTTTTTTAAACAGAACAATAAAGACGATAAAGAAAAAGAGAAACCGAAGAAGCCGCAATCGAACGACGATACCTGCTCATGCGTCTCATGCGCGTGAGTCCATTTGTGTTGCATTTTTTTATCAATACTAGTTTCTACCCGCTGTTTCGTCCGCGATTCCGTGAGGTATAAAGTAGCCTATTTGTTATTCCAGAGTTTAACCTATCCCTGTTTCAAATTTCAACCCAATTTCTTCAGCCATTTTGATGTTATTGAGTAACAACCATACAAACTCATTAACTTTTACATAACATAACATAACATCACGCCTTTTATCCCCAAAGGGGGAGGCAGAGGAGTGCATTACGGCACTTAATGCCACTGTACAAATGTAACACCCACTTTTCACTATTTATGTTATGAGTCCCATGTAATAGGGGGTGAGTCTATATTGTCATATACCGGGCACAATTCCAGACCCCGTGCTGAGATTTTTGATGCCTAAAACATAATAATTAATTTAATATGTCTCACGAGAGTTATATATATTACTTTTAACTGTTTTTATAATTATGTTAGATATTTAAAATATAAGGAAAGGAAAAATAATATGTACAACTTAAATAAACTAAAACTAATAGAGAAAATTAATTAAAATAAAAGTAAAACTTACCATTTAGGTGCATCAAAAAATTCGTCCGCATCAACGTCAACAGGAAAAGTACTCAGAAGGCTGGCAGCATTGCCACGTTGTATGGCAATGCTTAACTTTTGACCGAGGAACAGACCAGTCCTCTGGTCTCGAGATACGTTGACCAGGCATTTTGAAATATTTAAAAAAAAAAATTTTTGAAATCGGTCCAGGCGTCTTCGAGTAATCGAATAACAAACATAAAAAAAATAGTACAATTGAGAACCTCCTCCTTTTTTTGAAGTCGGTTGGGAAAGTATGGACCTGTATAGACCTAACGTCTCAACCCCAAACGGCTCAAAGATATAATTACCAGCAAGATTAACTAAAAATCGCGGGTTACTCACGTGAATATACTGAGAAAAGCTCTACTAGTTTCGAACCACAGAGGGGTTCTTCCTCATGAGCAGCGTGCGCGGTCGCGGCAATCCTAGTTTTAGATTTTTAGTTAATTTAATATGTTTCACGATAGTTATTTAAAAAAACACCAGCAAGATTGTTTCTACTGTATTTAATGTTAATTTCAGACTAAGAAAAATCGTCGGCTCAGAATACGCCTGCATTGGCTGCCTTCTCCTTCTGTTCGCGATATCCATCTTCATCGCTTACCTGGTCGTCTGCAAGGGTGTGCCAGGCTTTGGCGATGACGGCTGTAAGCTAAAAACCACGACAACGTCGACCACAACTAAATGCAAAAAGTCTGTTGACAGTGAGCGGTTGAAGCGGAAGATAGAACAGCTTAATGGGAACCGGCTGAATAATGATTATCCCGGTTTAAGTGACTATGAGAAGGATTTGTTAGTATAATATTGTTTTATTATAAATTACTAGCAGCCCGTCCCTGCTTCGCACGGGGTAGACAATTATTTATTTTTGGAAATTTGGATTGTGTGACATAACTACAATAGTTGGACATATGCTACCGCGGAGTTTTTTGTAGACATTATGATGTTCTTCAATATTGTTGTACATTATTTTGTTCTATCGCTAATAGTTTCGGCAGCGCATTCGACGAAAGACGTTTTAAGACTCATTTTTCTACCTAAATTTTACGAAGGATCCCTAATTTTTTCAAAATGAAATGTAGCCTTTGTCGGCTTATTGGAGGATTCGCACGAATTTAACTCGCACGAAACGTGCGAATCGAGTCCTTTAAAACATATTATTTTTTCTGTAGTCGATTCGCACGAATTACATTTATTGGCGTGCGAATCAACACCCTTACAAATATGTAGTAGGCTATTCGCACGTAAGTGCGAATCGACTACAGAAAAAATAATATGTTTTAAAGGAGTCGATTCGCACGTTTCGTGCGAGTTAAATTCGTGCGAATCGTCCAATAAGCCCCTTTGTCAAATTGGAAGAATGTAGCATTCTATTGGTGAAAGAATTTTTTAAATTGGCACAGTACTTTTTGAGCCTATTCATTATGAACATATAAAAATAGGTACAAATCTTTCCTCTTTATAATATTAGTATAGACTAGCGGACACGACTTCGGCCTGTCAAAAAAAAAAAATCGCATTTTACTCGCCGTAATTCGAACTCCAAAGAACATTAAAAAAAATTGGCCAAATTGGTCCAGGCGTTGTTGAGTTATGCGCTTATCAACACATTTTGCGATTCATTTTTATATTATAAGACTAGCTTCTGCCCTCGAGTTCGTACGCGCAATCCCGTCTTCTCCCGTTCCTGTAGAAAATCCTATAGGAATGGGAGAAACGGGATATATATTTATATATAAAATAAATATATAATATAATAAAATCCAGTGCTAATCATATACTTTTTAGATTTATAATATAATGCTAAAGAGTTTGTTTGTTTGAACGTGCTAATCTCAGGATTGATTTGAAAAGATATTTTTGTGCTGTACAGTCCATTATTATTTTTTCTTGAAGACATCCAAGATTATACCATTCAGGATATCAGACTAAAATAGGTCTAAAAATACGATAAGCTATTTAACATCACGCTACGATCAATAGGCGAAAAACAGAGCGGTTGAATACACGGGAGAGTAGCTATTGTTGTGATGTAGGGACTGTAATATTCGTATATAGTAAGATTAAAAAAGAGTAACCTATGGAGTTTCATGCTCGTTCTTCTCCATAGGAATCTAGGTACACCTAGGAATGAGCAAATAGCTTCGCTTTTAATTTTTTCTGTTGACGTGCCTATCTGGTCTACATAATTGAAATAAATGATTTTGACTTTGATACAACTTTGTTCTTTGCAACTTTAATCTTAAAAAAAATAACCTATTTTCTCGAGGTCTGCTATGATTCCCATATTGTGTGTCATATTACAAATATTGTACTGTTGTTTCTTTCAGAAAAAGTTACGATGATCCCATGATGTCGCCCAATAAAGGCGTAGCTGGAATAGGTATGTTTTTGTTACAAATAACTAATTACCGTAATAACATAACATTAGTTTACGACTTTTAATGCAGCTATACAATGTAACACGGTCTTGCCATTGTTATGAGTCCCATGTAATAGGGGGTGAGCCTATTGCCATATACCGGGAACAATTCCAGACACCGTGCTATTACTGAGATTTAAAAAAAAAACGCAGTAATCCTTTGTCTGACCCGGGAATTGTACCCGAGAGGCCAAGGACCATTGTCCAGCAGTCGCACTTGAGACCACTCGGCCAACGAGGCAGTCAGAATTAATTATAATATTAATATAATTAATATGAATGCAATTAGACGTCTAATAGTTACCTGGTTATGACCTTTTTTTTTGAGGGGAGAAAATCATCCAATGACTTCTCCCGCCCGGGTGAGGCGGGATGGCTCCTTGAGGCGCGCGCGGAACGCGACGCGCCGTACGCTCGGGCCTGGTTCTGGTCGGGCGGCGAGTCACCCGTGCTCGCCGTCCGCAGGCCCGTGCTTACGGTGGCCGGAGATCGTCTCGCGATTCCCGACGCCCGGAGTGTCTCTCGCGACGGCCGGGTCGTGAGGAGGTTCATTCCCTCACGCGCTCCGCCTCCTCCTTAGCTAGCATGACTGCTTCGCAGAAGGAGGAGACGGCATCCCAGTGCCCCACGCTCCATACCATGGTCTGAACCAGAGCCAGACGCGAGAGGTCGCCGTGTCCTCAGGGAAACGGCGGTGCTCAGTCCACGCAGGACACACCGCCACACCGTATGCTCCACCGTGGCCTGGTTATGACCTATATAGTTACTCAATGTCGATTGTAATAGTCTTTTATTTTATTCACAGATTTTGGTCCAAGTTTCCGAGAATTGGTAAGTGTTTTCTTTTAGGTATTCACTAAATCAAACATAGTTTTATTATTTTCCTTATAATATTTTAAATAGGTAGATATATTTAAAACATTGACGCTTCTATTTGTTAATTACTTTAAAATATTATCCGGCTGACGTCACCGTCTTAATTAATATAGATCAATAAAATTTGAGTATCTGTTTGTAATATTATTTACTCCTAAAATTCATATTCTATGTAGACAAAGTCGGGAGCAACAGCTAGTACATATCGATATAAATAAATGTCGACAAAAAACCGGTCAAAACTAAATTAACTGCTAATATTTTTGATCATTCCTAGTTCAGGATGATATCTTAAATGTACCAACCACTTACGTGCGTCAATATTTCTTAATCTTTAAATTCAGAATACACTTGTGTTTCCCTATCCAAATCCTAGCCTTACCAAGCGCACCTCACCACAAACCACACACCTTCAATAAAACAATGTCGCCACAACAAATAAAAAACATGCCCTCGTAAAAAATGTTACTGATTGAAAAAAATGCTTCCCAAAACTGCCATGAAAGCGGGAGTTATTTATTTACTGGCAACACTTTAGGGGATAGTGTGCGGTGTTGCTATTGAAAATAATGGGCGGGTTCAAGTGTTGTCGACGTATTTTTGGTGACGGATTTCGTAGGACGGTTTCGGAAAATTTTGGCTGCGTCTTTGGGGTTTTATAACGGTTTAATTGGGGTTTTGTTGATCGGTCAGTTGAATTTTCGATGTACTAAAATTAATAATTTCTATAGTCTTCAATTGTTACTAACATAACCAATACGTATACCTACAGACGATTTACAGGTACATATTTTCACCTCTGTGAATTCAGACTATTTTACAGACAGTCAGCCTCATCGGTCGCTTGATAAAATTGACGTGTAAAAGTGCTGCTTTGTAGCCTATTTGCAGAAATATGAAAAAAAAGACAACCTTTGGCCGGAAAAATGAATTAGATATTCAATCTAAAATTAGATAAAGTCCTATTTTGTTTATTCACTACTTAGTATGAAACAAAGTCGCTATCCGCCGTCTGTCTGTCCCTATGTATGCTTTGATCTTTAAAACTACGCAACGGAATTTGATGCGTTTTTTTTAATAGATATAGTGATTCTTAAGGAAGGTTTATATGTATAATACATGCATATTGCACCCGTGCGAAGCCGGGGCGGGTCGCTAGTTTAAAATAATATCAGTATGGGCCGGTGCCTATTGTGAATGAGGTATTTACTTAAAGTACCTACTTTTTATTTTTTTTTCTATTTTTATTCATTGTTTTAGTTAATTTTATAAGTTGTATATATACATCGTTTATAAAAAATCTAATATATAAAAA